TTGGGTTGTCTCATTCTACCAATTTTTAAACACTGAAACAGGCGAGGGAATAGATGACCAAGTACTAGGAATGGGAGACTTCTTTGTCAGAGCATTTTCTGCTCCTGTTTATCCACTGCAAACTGATAGCTTAATATTTGCATATTTAATGGACTACCTCGAGCTCTAGCTCCGCTGGTCCTCAGGAGCCTTAAAAGACCCCAGGCAAGTTACTAAGCTCCGCGTAAACTGGTAGCACAGCACGCCGCAGCATGCCAGGACTATCGCCCCGCCTCCTGCACTCAGCCCCGCCTCCGCACGCGGAGGGGCGGGGCCCCCGACAGGAAGGGGCGGGGCCAGAGCCGGAGTGCCTAAGAGCCGCCCCCGGACGTCGGCCTTCCTTTTCCGCGCGGCCGCCGAGGCGGGAGGTCTCCGCGAATTCGCGGGCATGCGGGCGGGGCGGTGGCGGTGCCCGCGGGCCGGCCGCCGGGCTGTTCGAGGTGAGAAGCATCGCGGTCTCAGTTCCTCCCCTCCTACGTGCCGGTGCCTCGGCCTTGTGCGTGCGGAGCGCGGCGCCTTGGTTCTGCAGCCCGCGTCCCTCGTCCGGTCGCGACCAGGGGTCGGCCCGAAGGCAACGCTCCCCCCCCCAGGCCACGAGCTTTTCCTCTGCTCCGTCGGCGCAGTCACGTGTTGTGAGTAGCCTTCTGAGAGTCATAGCTGACCCTGCTGCGTAAACACCGATTCGACCGCCCCCGGCGTAGGCTAGTCCAGGGTCCTCTGTGACCCCGGGGATCCCGAGGAGCCTGGAAGGGGCGGCCAGTGGCTTCGAAACGGATCCCCGTTTCGATTGGTAAGTGCTGGGATTTCTAAGCATTTCCAAATTAAATGTTTGATAGAAATACTGGTGTTGCGCGGAAGTTCTGAAGCATAAATGCGAAAAACCCCGTCGATCCATTTAAGGACTGAAACATGACCAGTACTGTGGCAAATGTTTCCCTAGCCCGTCCCTGTTTCCCACCCAGCGGTACAGAACATCTGGAATTGTGTGCCCGTCCGTCTCTTGGATATTTGGGGGGAGTGGGATGGATAGCAGTTTTATCATATATGCGTCTCCGAACATGAACTTTCTTAAGAGTTATAAAATCTGTGAATCAATAACAACAATCTGAAATTTTCTAAATTGGATAACCAGTAGTTTGTATTCCTAATATTGATTTATGTGAAATATTTCACCATTTCAAGACTTGAAAATGATAAATTGTCTTGCAAGGTCCAGCCTTGTGTGTCTTCATAAATCATATTCAATAACTGTCTGAGTCAATGATTTATTCTCCTGGGGTGCTATATGACATGATCTGTGGCTCTGGCCACGTCCTTTGCAGTACTTAAGTGCTTTTCAGTTGACTTGGGACCTCATTCTTCAGGAGTGTGTCCAATAATGCCAACATAAGAGAACCCTGCTGTAAAACAACTAGATTTGCCATTGTAATGTTTTTGGATGAAGGTCCACACACTAGTATTATACATACAACCTTTAACCTGACTCAGCTCATCCTTGTCAAGCTCGAAACAGAAAAGCCATGGCTGTGTACTCATTAGTACCTTGGTCTTAAAACTGCATCAGTGAAGGGGATCATAAAATGGTTTTTAACCATTCTTCCTGCCCATACTAATGACTACCATTTCCAGCTTGAAGAAGCTTATGAAATTATTAGGTGATCTGTCAAAGGGACTAACATCAAATTATCATGTGTTTTAAATTTGGGGTTTGTCAGTTTTCACTGTCAACAAAAATAGTTGAGAGTATTTTCCTTTATTGAGAGATGTATTGAACACCAGAATAGTACAGTGCGTTTATGGTTCCTGCTGAGAAGGGAATTCTTATTGCACATTGCCTACATGTGAGATACAAACAGATGCACATACAAATGGGAAATCATTTAATTTCCAGGTGTAACAAAGCTTATGAGTTTTGGGGGTATAAGAAGGTCATCGCGGCAAATGTTTTCCAAAGGCGTGCTGTAGAAAGATGGCTGTGAAAAATCTCCTAGGACCACCATTGAAGGTAATGGAGTACCAAAGATTAATACTAAGCTGTGTGCTTTTTGTGGTATTGTTATTACAAGCAGTATCCAAAATACATTTAATGTATTTTTGACAAAGGTTTAATGACTGGCACAATGATGACTTAAGTTACTTTTTGCCGTTTACCCAGCTGAGGGTATCTTTGAAGAAATAATTGTAAGACTGAGATGCCAGTAATCGATATTGGTGTTGGTCACTAACATGTAGTGCAGTATTTTACTAAAAATAATGAACTGTTTTTTTTCTCTTAGCATATAGGTGGCTGCAGATGAATGTGCTTTTACAAAAACTCTTGTGTTAAAGATGACTCCATTGCCTCAAGTAAGTAATTGTGATTTGTCAAGCAGCCACATAATGTTGACAGTTCTGAAGTTTTAAACTTCGGAAGGGTTGGGGCCAGTTCTTTTTCTTTTTTTTGAGTTGGATTCTCACTCTGTCACCCAGACTGGAGTGCAGTGGCACGTTCCTGGCCACCGCAGCCTCGACCTGCTAGGCTCCAGGTAGCTGGGATTACAGGCATGCACTACCACGCCCGGCTAATTTTTTATTTATTGTAGGAATGAGGTCTCACCAAGTTCTCCAGGTGGGTCTTGAGCCCGCAGGCTCAGGCAATCTACTTGCCTCGGCCTCCCAGAGTGCTGGGATTACAGGCTGAGCCACCTAGCCCAGCCCTGGGACCAATTCTTAATGACGTTGGCTTTGTATGTCAGGAGTATGGTTTCCTTTTTTCAACGTTGTTTGAGTGGTGCTTATGAATATTGAAGTTATATGAAAACTTAATCTGAGTACAAAATAATTTTCATTGGTTTCTGGTTTTTTCAGGTGTGGCATGCAACATTTGGGGAGGAAAAATGAAGACTTATTCAAGAAAACAGATGAACAGAAGCAAATTGTGAAAGTGGATGTTTTGATGTTGATAAGCCCACAATAAATTGTAGAAAATAAATGTTCGACTAATTACTTTAATTGGTGAACATAAGTCTGTTTCCTTTAAAATGTTTTTCTAAAGGACTATTTTTAGTCACTGGTCAGACATTTTTCAAAGTAAGGATACAATGTCAATAACTAGCTCATTTGTGAGTGGTAATTCTCATTGAGGCTGACTTCCTGGGAGACATTTCTTGTTCCTCCAGTTTTCCTTTCTAGCCTTAAGAAATTTCTAGAGAAGCCCCTAATCGCTGCATAACTAGATAACCTCCCCTTCTGAACCTATTATTGACCTGAAATAATAATCAAGTGGCTCATTTCACTTGTCTGATAGATTTTACTTTTTTTGGTTTACCTTTCTCTTTGTGTACAAAAATAATCATAGTACAAGTAATGACTAGTAATATGCTGTATTAAGGGACAAGGCAGACTTGTCTTACGACTCAAGTTGTAAAGAATTTCTAGATCAGGCTTGGTGGCTCAGCTTGTAATCCCAGCACTTTGGGAGGCCAAGGCGAGTGGATTTGCCTGAGCCTGCGGGTTTGAGATCAGCCAGCGTGACTTGGCAAGACCTCATCTCTATGATAAATCAAAATTTAGCCAGGTGTGGTACCGCGTGCCTGTAGTTCAGCTACTTGGAAGGCGAGATGGAAGGATCGCTGGAGCCCAGTAGACCAACACTGGGGTGGCTGTGACTGCCATAGCACTCCAGCCTGAGCAACTCCAACTAACTAACTAAAAGAGTGAAGACAGTTCACACTAATTTAGTCATGGCTGGCCAGTTATCTTGCTTTCATTAAAGTTAAAATATGTGGTAATATACTAAAAGTTGGAAAAGCAACATCCTAATCGCATGAAAGGCAACATTTAAAAACCATGTTTTATATTTTACAATTGTAAGGTGAAAGATTGTATGGCTCCTAGTTTTATAAAATAAGAATTTGTTTTGCCTTCATTGCTTTAGAGTCAGAAAACTGAAATAATGGTAGATGAGGAAGTACAAGTTCTTAATATAGAACTGCAATATGTAAATATTTTGGTGAAAACCAGATTTGTCTTTTAAAGACATTAATCCCTTGACACTAGTAGGTGTTTTCAATAATAGTGATTTCTTGGTCCTGTGGAGAAGTCAAGCTTTATGGTTAAGCTTTGAGGTGGGCCACTTTTCAAAGAATTGTTGCATGGTAGTATCTCGGTTAATAAAGTGGCAAGTTGGTGATGGCATTTTTGCTTTTCTGTGAGTACAAATTTTAAAAGGATTTAAGGGGTTTATGAGTATGTTTTTTATGCCCCTACTTTTTCAGAGTTATAAACTTCCCTCAAAAAATCAAGACTAGATTTGCAAATAGATGTCTTTGCTTTTTGAAACCTTTCTTGTAACCAGTTAGGGTTATGGACCTGGTTCCATGTAGTTTTCTTGTTTTGCTTTTACTTAAGCTGGCAAATCAGACTTTTTCTGACTCCATATTTAGAGCTCCTAAAACAGTATGTAGTGGACAAGTCAGTAATAAATCATGAATAAGTCTTCAATTATTTTGAAGCTTCAGGTTATACAGACAGGGTTATTTACTCACCAGTTGGGCAAATTGACGGGTTAAAAAAGGCTTAATTCGTAGATAGTGTTATTGCCATCTTCTGACAAATAGAGCAAACTACATGAAAGTCGCCATTTTTCACATTGCCTAGATTGCAACTTTTGTTGCCTAGGCTAGTCTAGCCCTAGAACTCGTGGATGAAAGCTGTCCTCGCGCTGCAGCCTCTCAAAGTGCTGGGGTCACAGGCCTGAGTCACCACCTGGCCAGCATTCTTTATTTGCTCACCAATGGTATTCTGAGCTAAGCAGAAGGTTGTTTTGTTTTAAATAGTATTCTTGGCAACTTCATCACTAGTCCACGTTTTCTTAAGTTTTAAGAATTCTATTGGCTTTAGAGATTTGGGTTCGTATTTATCCCATAAGCAATTTTGAGGGAACCACGTTTTGCACTTCAAAAAATAGTATTCCAGGGTACTTCTATACACAGTATTACCTGAATCATTATTTCAAACCACTCAAACACATTTTTCCACTGCTTAAGTAGGAATAAAGCAAACATTCTAATTATTCATCGCTAGAGAAAACAGCTGTCCCAGGTCCGTAAGTAGCAATAAATTGTTCCAGCTGTTGTTGGCACTGAGTCAGGTAGAGATCCCTTTGCTCCAAGTACTCTTCATTATGCAGTTCAAATGGAAATACTGCATTTGGAGCAACACAAAATACAGTGGCCCCTAAATGAAGAAAATACAGTATAAGGAATACTTCTTACAATGCAAAATATGAAATCATGTTTTCAGCCAAAATACACTAATAAAAATTTAACATTTAAGCCTGGCCTACTTGATAAGAGTATTTCAATAATCATTTAAATCTGACTCGTTTTCTGAAACCCAGGAAGTTAGTTCAGTAAATGCACAAACATTGGTACCAGTGCCAACATAAGTATGTTGATGTTTACATTTTAGAGTTGGGAACCAGCTAGGAGCAGTGGCTCACACCTGTAATCCCAGCACTTTAGGAGGCAGAGATGAGAGGACTGCCTGAGCCCATGGGTTCGAGACTAGCCTGGGCAATATGGTGAGACCTCATCTCTACAATAAATTTAAAAAATTAGCTGGGCGTGGTGGCTCACGCCTGTAGTTGCAGCTACTTGGATGGCTGAGGTGAAAAGATGGCATGAGCCTAGCAGGTCGAGGCTGTGGTGGCTGTGCAGCATGCCACTGCACTCCAGCCTGGGTGACAGAGTGAGACTGACTCAAAAATAAAGTTGGGAACCTACAGAAATTAGTCATCTACTGAAATAGTCATTAAAGTTTTGAAACTGAATAGTAATGTTAGGAGGTGACAGGAATAGAGAGAGAAGGTATGGGAATGTAGGGAAACACTTTTATCTGATAAAGGTTAGGTGGATGATCAAGGAAAAAGACGTTGTAGTACATTTCTCAGTTGTCAAAAACCACCTAAAGGCAGAGATACAACTATGGAACAGAATAGAGAGCCCCCAGATAATCCCTCACCTATGTGGTTAAATTATTTTCCAAAAGGGTGCCAAAACCATTTTATGAGAAAGGACAGACTTTCCAATAAATTGTACAGGAAAACTGGAAATCTACATGTAAAAAACTGGATATCTACATGTAAAAGGATGAAGCTGGACCCTTACCTTACATCATATGTAAAAACTACTCAAGATGGAACAAAGACATAATATGAGTGAAAACTATAAAACTTAAAAGAAAACAGGAGAAAAGTTTTGTAACTTTAGATTTGGCAAAGATTTCTTAAATATGGCACCAAAAGCACAGGCGGCAAAAGAAAATAGATAAGTTGCACTACAACAAATTAAAAACTGCATCAAAAGATACAACCACTAGGGAAAAGACAACCCATGTAATGGGAGAAAATGTTTGCAAACCATATCTCTGATAGAGGACTCTAACTCAACAACAAGAAAACCTGATTTAAAAATGGGGAAAGGACTAAAATAGACATTTCTCTAAAGAAGATAAATAATTGAACAATAAGCACACGAGAAAGATGCTTAATATCACTAAGCGTTAGGGAAATGCAAATCGAAACCACAATGGATGCCACCTCACACCTATAAGGATGGCTCTATAAAAATAAAAAACAGGCCGGACTCGGTGACTCATGCCTGTAATCACAGCACTTTGGGAGGCTGAGGCAGAAGGATTACTTGAGCCCAGGAGTTTGAGACCAGCATGGGCAACATAGTGAGACCTAGTCTCTACAAAGAAAAAGAAGGAAAAGAAAAAAATTAACTGGACATGGTGGAGCACACTTGTAGTACCAGCTACTTGGGAGGCTGAGGTGGAAGGGTTGCCTGAGTCCAGGAGGTTGAGACTGCAGTGAGCTATGATTGTGTCACTGCACTCCAGCCTGGATGACAGTGAGATCTTGATTGTAGAAGTAAATAAATAAATAAACAGGGGAACCCCCTCACTCCCCCCCCCCGGGAGTTTTTCTGTCCTCGCAATAAATCCTGCTTTAAAAAATTTTTTTAAATAATAAAAATAAAAATAAACAAAATTACAAGTGTTGGTGAGACTGTGGAGAAATTGGAACCCTTGTGCACTGTTTGGAATGCAAAATGGTGTACCCACTATGGAAAACAGCATGGTGGTTCACAAAAAAGATTAAACAGAATTACCATATGATCCTGCAATTTCACTTCCAGGTATGTATGCAAAAAAATTGAAGCAAGGTCTCAAAGAGTAATTTAGCACAGTCACGTTTATAGCAGACGTATGTTTATCGCAGCATTGTTCACAATAGCAAGATCATGGAGCCAACCACGCTATCCATCAAAAGAGGACTGAATTTTTAAAAATGTGGTACATATACACAATGGAATATTATGCAGCCATAAAAAAGAACAAAATCATGAATTTTGTAGCAACCTGGATGGAATTAGAGTTTATAATACTGAGTGATCTCTCACAGAAACAAAGATCTGAGTATCAAATGTTCTCACTCATAAGTGGACCCTGAACAACTATCGTAATACTATAAGAAAAAGATTGACAGAGGCGGGAAACTATGGCGGGGGCAGGGAGGGGAAGGGAGGTGGGATTAACGGTAGTCAATATCTGGGGATGGGAGGGCACACTTCATCAACAAGGGTAACTGCACAATGCATATTTGTATATCTAACCCTTAACTGTACCCCACAATTTTAAAATAAAAAATATGTACTAAAAAAATTAAATAATAAAAATTGAAAAAAACAAAATTACAAGTGTTGGCGAGACTGTGGAGAAATTGGAACCCTTGTGCACAGTTTGGAATGCAAAATGGTGTCCCCACGGTGAAAGGCAGCATGGTGGTTCACAAAAAAGATTAAACAGAATTACCGTATGATCCTGCAATTTCACTTCCAGGTATGTCTGCAAAAAAACTGAAGCAAGGTCTCAAAGAGATATTAGCACAGACACGTTTATAGCAGTGCTATTTACAATAGCAAGAGGTGAAAGCAACCAAAATGTCCGTTGACAGATGAATGAATAGACAAAACGTGGTATACTCATACAATGGCATATTACTCAGCCTTAAAAAGAAATGAAATTCTGATACATGCTACAATATGGATGAACTTTGTTTTCTGGCATTTCAAAAAATTTTTATTTTAAAGATGTGGGTGGGGTGTAATTCAGGATTAGGTCTACAAATGTTCAGTATGCAGGTGCCCTTGTTGATGTGGTGTGCCCCCCATCACTGGCAATCTGCCCCATCCCCAGCAGTTTCCGACCACTGCCAATTCCTCTCTTGTAGTATTATGATAATTGTTCAAGGTCCGCTTATGAGTAAGAACATGTGGTACTCAGTTCTTTCTTTCTGTGATAGATCATTCAGTATTATAGACTCTTAAGTCCATCCAAATTGCTGCAAAGTTCAAAATTTTGTTCTTTATGGCCGTGTAATATTCCATCGTGTGTATGTACCACATTTTTTTTTAAATGGATGAACTTTGAAAACATTTGTGCTATGTTAAATGAGCCAGTCACAAAGGGGCAAATACTGTATAATTCCACTTATATGTGGTATATGTTTCTCTGAATATGACTATTCATGGTAACAATAGAATGATGGTTGTCAGGGCCTGGGTAGAGGGGCAAATGGGGAGGGAGCTATTGTTTAATGGGTACAACATTTCAGTTTGGGAAGATGAAAAAGTTCTGGAGATGGATGGTGGTGATGGTGGCATAACAATATGAAAGTACTTAACACCACTGAACTGGATACTTAAAAATGGTTAAGACGGTAGATTTTATGTGTATTTTAACTGCAGCTTTTAAAATGGACTCTAACTATAGGAGTTAAGCTCATATTCTGTTTCACTCACTGATTCATTGAGTGAGTACCTAAATGTGGCAGAAGTACAATTGCTAGCCAAGCAGGGCCTACCTTCCTACACTATCATAAGAATCGCCTCGAACTTCTTTGACCGCTCCTTCCCTTTCCTCCTTGACCTTACCTGAAAGCTTTCTGTCTCTTGAGAACACTGCTTTCCTTGTGGCTCTCTAAAGTGAAACTATTTTTCTCAGACACACGTAGTGTCACAAGACAGAGTCAATGGCTAGCTTGATGCTCCTCTGCTGCTTTCAGACCATTCTTTCCCCTGCTTTCCCCTTGGTAAAAATCCTTTCTCCTTGAATGCTCAGTGCCATTCCCCTTCTACAGTCAACACCAGCTCTTAGCACTTGGCTCACAATCTTCCTCTCTTCCCTAATACCCGACATTCAGTGATTCCCGTGTGAATGACTCACTGAACTCCCTACCTCACTGTGTCCTACCTTTTCCCCCTCCACCTCAGCCACACATTCTCATGGTCACAGGAATCTGATATCACCAGAAACTTACTTCAAAACCAAAACCCACTCCCTATACATAGTGCACCCATTATGGAAAACAAGGTGGTTCATACTACCTCCTATGCTTCCAGCTCACTTGCTCAAATGTTCAGATCTTCTACCTCAGGGATCCCCAATCTGCTTCCTCCAATTAACTTCCCTCCTTAACCAGTCGAGTTCTTCCTTTGCCAGTCCCCCCACTCCCTTACCCCTCTGGACCACTCCACCACACTTACCTATCAAAATCTCAACTCTCCAAGAACTTTCACTCTTGTACTGCACTAAGGCTGCTAGGCAGAAAAATCACACAACTGGCATTTCTTCTTTTCACATTAAGTGAATCACAGTAACTTCAAAACAATCACTTGCACTGCCTGGCAACCCTGCCAAATTTCCCTAGGATACTTCTCTTCTAGCCCCCACAATAACTATTACATTCCATTCTCCTCTCCTCAAACCTTTCATTTTCAGCTGAGGACATTGAGTAAACTATGACCAAATCTACATACTGGCTCTGTCCGTCTTCCTCCCTCCTATAAAATGAAGAGGCCAATACCTTCATATGTGCCCTGGTTCCCATCCTCTCACCTTTTTAGGACTTCACGCCTTGATTTTCTCTCTTTCTGTAGTTTACTCTCTACTGCATATCATATGACTTAGTACCTTCTATCTTTTTTTAACTTCAATACCCCTCCTTCAGTACTACACATGCCTTTCCAGCTAATACTCTATTTCTTTCCTCATCTTTATAGTCAAACATCTTGAACTTGTCTGTGTACTTTTTCCATATTCTTACCTCCATTCTCATTCTACTGAAATAGCCCTGATCAATAACACCTACAACATCTGTGTTATTGCCA